ACTAAAGTCTACGGCATCAGCCGCACACTCCCATTTCCCAATCCTCCTCCATAACTACTGCCAACCTGTGCATCTTCTAGACTGTTGAATGTAGTGATTTCGAAATCATACATAGCAACAGGGATGTGTTCAATGCTTTGGACCGCCGTTAAAATGTGCAGCAGCGCATTCTGTAGTGCCGCTTCCGTCTCACCAGCGCACAACTCTCGTTCCTCTACAGCAACAACCAGTTAGTATCCTCTCTTATCCGCTCCTCACAGCAATCCCGCACCTTGCGACGCAGCAGGTGACGATGTGACCGTAACCGGAATGATCCACTTCTCAAAGACCGTCTTCTCCTCGTTAGACATGAGTCCAAACAATGCCTTCTTCACCTTACGCTCAAAGAACGTCACCACAATGTAGCCACTATTGGCTCCTCTGACATTGCTCGTCCCGAAGGCCTTAGACGGTTGACCATACGCCGGCACCATCCCGCTGCTGGTCCCCATGACATAACTGCTTCCTCCAAGCACCGCTGCCTCCTCAAAGCTGCGCACTGCGTGGTCCACTTTACGACTGACGTCTCCTACCGCGCACAGAGCGTACGTGATGTTGGGGAACGCCTGGCATGTGGCTTCGCTGGGGCGCACAGGCCCAGGAGCTCGTGTGAACAGAATAGTGTGCAGTAAGCACGTCACAGCGTCGCCCACGTCCTCCGCAGCCACAGGAATCTCGTCCAGAAGATGCTCTTTCCACGAGGCAGCAGTCACGACCCCACCGGTGCTAACAGCGCTGACCACGGAGCCCGATGCAATGCCTGTAGTGCCCAGCATTCTCGGAATTCTCAGACTTTAGCTGCACAACTTTTGAAAGATTAGGCATAATAAAGAGGTAGTGATAAGAAACATTTTTTTTTTAGATTGATGCTAAATTTCACATGATAAAATATAAAAATGCAAGGACTATTTTTTTAGAGCTTGTTTACAGCAACGCTGTTTTGCTTTGCTCACTTGTCTTCAGCTTTTTCCGCATCCGTATCGAAGACACTCCAGTCTTGGGCATTCTCTCTCCGTTGCCCCACATCGTATGCCAGATCTGGTTGCACGTGGCATTTTGATACTCACCTTCGTCATGCGGTCGGACTTTATTGCACAAGAACACCATGAGACCTCCGCGTCGCTCCGTGCATGCAACACAATAGTGAGAAGTTTGGAATGTACGCCGGTGATCTCGCAGCGCTGAGCACACTTTACAGATGTGGCGGCGATGTCTGCGCATTAAAGTGCCAGGTGAATCCTTCTTTTCACGGTATTTAAACTCCGCGATCTTTTCAAGCGAGTGGTTGGCATTTGACGGTGTCGGCGGCGTGTTTGCATTCCTTCTGACGGGTGGAACTTGCGTTGGAGGGTCTTTTGGACGCCGACGGATTGTAAACCCAGGAGATGGCAAGGTGGCTACTTGGACCGGGCTCTGTTGATTCTTAGCTGGAGCTAGCACGCTTTTCATCTGCTCCTTAAGAGTTTTAACTTCCTGCTGAAGCTCCTGGACTTGAGTAGTGAGCATTTTAATCTGCTCCGTCGGCGACATAGCTTTCTGTGGCTCTAATGTTAATGGGAAGACGTAAATCGGTGCCCATGTCATGTTCGCCACGTCCGACTTAACCAGCACTTCCAACTGCAGTACTGTGTCCCCCTCTCCACGAGTGAGATGTATACCCTGCTTGGTTGAGTCTCTTAAACTGGTCTGTCAAGATTAACATGCCCGTTCAGCCTATGAATCTGTATTCCACTGTGAAAATTTAAGGCACTCACCGCCACATATTGCAGAACTGTATTCGGAGGTAGCGTCGCCCCCTCCAGCGCAT